GGCGGCGGGGGAACCGCAGGCGCCGACGCCGTGCGGGCCGCTTTCCCGGCCCTCACAGAGCCAAGCGAGCCTTTTGTGTCGCCCGCAAGGCCCGCGGTGGCCGAATCGGCCCTGGCCGGAACGTTCTGCCGCGGGCCGCGGAGAGGCAGCAGGGCGCAGGCGCCTTAGGCGTGCCTCCCGTCCGTTTGACAGGTATTTATTAAGCGCCTGCTGTGTGCCTGGAGCTTTTCCAGGAGTTAGCGACGGGGCGTTAAGCAAACAGCATTCTGTGGCGTCGTGGACCTCACACGTTGCTTGCGTCTCACAAGATCCTGTTCCTCGAGGGACAGGAAATGGGATAAATGAGCAACATACGAGGATGGGAGATGGTGCTAGGCGCATGGGAGAAACATAACGCGGGCCGGGAAGACGGAGTGTGGGGAGAGGCGGTGACAGAGGCCAGGAGGCCTCGTGGAGAAGGCGACACGGGAGTAAGACATGAAGGCGGTTGGAGTGGGTGGCCACTCGGATGTTAGGGGACAAGGTTGCGGGGCAGAGGAGAGCGAGTGCAAGGGCCTGAGGCAGGAGGTGACCAGGGGTGCAGCGGGTCCGGAGAGGTTGAAGCCGAAGCCGGACAGAGGGCATCAGGCCCAAGCTGTGCATGTTGTAATAGGCGCACCGGGCTGCTGTGCTCAGAGGGGGCTGCTGGGGACACAGGGACAGGGAGGAGAGTGGTCAGGAGGCAATGGCAGTAATCCGGGAGAGAGAGGGGATGTGCTAGGTTCAGGAGAGGGCCGACGAGGTTGGATTGGGCTGTGAAGCTACTTGAAGTTATACCTAATTCTTTTTGGGTTTTTTTAGGTTGATCTGGAGAGACAGAGACAGAATCGGCAGGGGGAGGGGCAGGGACCGAGAGGGAAAGAATCCTGGCAGGATCCAAGCTGTCAGTGCGCAGGGCCTGATGCGGGGCTTGAGCGCAACAAACGCTGAGATCATGACCTGCGTGGGAATCAAGGGTCCGACACGTAACCGACTGAGCCATCCAGGCGCCCCAAGATACTTGAAGTTAAATCTAATACATTTTGGACATGGTATGATGTGAGAGAGGAGTCAAGCTTAACTCCAAGGTTTTTGTACTAATGACTTGGGAGGATAGGGTTGCCATCATCTGAGAGGGGGATGACCGTGGGAGGAGCAAGTTTGGGGATGAAGACCAACACCAGTTCCGTTCTGGACATGTTGACCTTGAGAAGTGAAGAGGAGGAGGTCTGGGGAAAGATGTGTGTGTAATAGATGGTATTTAAAACCCCGAGGGCCTCCTGGGGGGCTCCGTCGGTTAAGCCTCCAAATTTGGCTCAGGTCATGATCTCACAGCTCCTGAGTCCAAGCCCCGCGTCGGGCTCTGTGTTGACAGCTCAGAGCCTGGAGCCTGCTTCCGATTCTGTGTCTCTGTCTCTCTCTGCCCCTCCCCTGCTCACGCCCTGTCTCTTTCTCTCTCAAAAATCAGCATTAAAAAAAAAAGCTAATCTTAAAGGAATAAAATAAAATAGAGCCACAAGACCAGATCACCGAGAGAGTCTAGGAAGAAAAGAAGCCCTTACACTGAATCCTGGCCGACTCCAATATAAGTTCCTGGAGAAGAGGAGGAACCTCCTGTGTGGAATGCCAGCATATTTTTTATTAAGCAAAGAGCCATTTTTCAACCTCACATCTTACCAGGTTCCAGAAGTTCTATCGTGAAAGGATGAGATTTCATTTCGTGATTGATGTTTGATCTATTGGAATCATTACTTATTTTGCATTTGCAAAATAAACTTTGGCAAAGAGGAGTCCTTTTAGGTATATTCCTAACTCAGTAAGAAAGTGCTCAATACTTAATTGTTTGGTTACTTATAACCAGCTGGGAGATCATAGTAAGTAATTAATTATCATGAGATTGATGAGCAAAATCAGCCCCCTATGACAAATGTAGTTTGCAACATTAAGTGAACAAAATAAAATCTTCTGAAACAAACATTCCAACAAATAAACTTTTTGTCCTAAACTTTTATACTCTGGTTTTATGTCAGCAATCATTGGAATTATTAAACCGCTGAAGATTACAGAAAAGCTCTTTATCCTACCTGGGATATACACATAGGGAAAAAAACAACTGCATGAAGACAATGTCAAAAATAAATATAGATTCAGCTTACATCTAACAGTAAATGCATATGTCTCCATGGTCTTTCTTATATATTTAAATAAAGATAAACCTAGTGTTCCTCATTCTGAAAAGCACACCTGTCAACACTTCCTGTTCTTAATATCTCTGCTATTGAACTTACGGCCTCTGACTTCAACAATTTTAACACGGCAGAATTAAAAATACTTGAAATCACATAACACCCAAGTACTAAATATCCAGTTCTATTCCATGAAGATGAAATATTGCTTTTTGTGAAAACATGGACAAATCTTTCAAAATGTGAATAAGTCATAAGTAGACAGTTTTATGGTTTTTTGAAAATGCCCATCCTTGTTTACCCACCAGTCGTATCTAAAAATAG